GCAGCCCTGCCCGTGGGCCCCGGTGCACCCTCCGCCTGATGCCCGCAGGAGGGGCCCGTCCCCGGGACCACCTTCGTGTTCACCTTCGCACTCACGCCTCCACCCGGCTGTGACTTAGAGGACGGGCTGTTCGGGGCTGTTTCCTGGCTGTGATCCACGGCACCCAGAACTCTGGCGAGTGTGCGCCGTGGGCGACCACGTGGGGGGGGTGTGCACGCGTGTGCACGCGTGTGCACAGGCATATTAATCAGGAAGTCCTCGCACATTTTGGAATTTCCCAGGGTTGATTCTTGGACACAGGAGGCCCGGAGTTTTAAGATGTGTGCTATGCATTTCCAAATTCCTTGGCTCAATACTGAATTTATCAGTGTTTGTTGTTGTTTGTTGTTGTTCATCCTCACCCAAGGCTATTTTTTCCCATTGATTTTAGAGAGAGAGGAAGGGAAGGGGAGGGGAGGGGAAGGGAGAGAAACATCGATGTGAGAGAGACACATCAATGGTTGCCTGCCACACGCACCCCCACGGGGCCAGGGAACCTGCCACCGCGGTGCCTGCCCTTGACCAGGAATCGAACCCGTCACCTTTGCTGCACAAGTCGACGCTCTAACCACTGAGCCACTGGCCAGGGCTGAGGCTGTTCGTTTTTATGTAAATTGCAAAGTGGGGCGTTTGCTGGAGCCTTAGGACAAAATAGAAATGGAAATAAGAGAGAAAGGAGTCCTTTCCCTGCTCCTCTCTCCGCCCACTTTCCCCGCCTCCACGGAAACCACCGTGAGGTTTGCTAACCTCCTGGCACCTTCTCTGGGCAGGTGCCTGTGGTCATTTGGCGTCGACGTCCTTCGTTGTGGCTGATACTTTTATAAAAGTGGAATCACAGGGGACACACTGTTGTTACGTTTTTCTCAATAATAACAGACCAGCTCCTGCCCCTGGGCTTCCCTGCTCTTCACCCCAAGTGTCTTCCTTACCTGCTCAGGCCAGGCTGGACCCGCTGCAGGCGTCCTGTCACTCAGGGCGGCCCCGCCGTGGGAGGCCTCCCCGTCTGCCGCCTCCTTAGGGAAGCTGTCTTCTCACCGCCTGTCCCATCTCGCCCCCGGCAGCTCTCCCTCAGTTCACCGTGACCCCGCAGGACAGAGCTGTGATCGAGGGTCAGACCGTTGATTTCCAGTGCGAGGCCAAGGGGTACCCACAGCCCGTCATCGCCTGGACGAAAGGAGGTAGGGCGCACACCTGGTCTCCAGCCGTCACCACCTCCCTCCCTCGGAACACTGACTCGAAGCCAGCTGTGTCTTTCTCTGGCCCCCAAGCCCCAGGCTTCTGAGCGGGGCTGAGCGATGGGTGACCCCAACATGGCCCGGGGGTCTTGCCTTTAATATACACTAATTAGGGTTGAATGAAATTGAATAACAGGGAAGATGAGCTGGAAGACCACAGTGGAATATATATTTTTAAAGTTTTGCTCTCGGCTTAGTCCCAGAGTTCTGCCACTTCCCGCCCTGTACTGCGTGTTGGTTGCGTGGATTCTCTGGGTGGGGCCCAGCCCTCGGTCTCCCGCTGGCCCAGGGGTGACGGCA